CATCCTCCTCCTCTCTGGGCACTCCAGGCTGAGGGATCCAGCTTTGGCATCTCCTGGGGCTATCGGAGTGGCCTTCTCAACCTGAGTGTCCAGGTGGAAGAATGAAGCCCAGAATTGTTAATAAAGACATTCTCAGGATCAGGAAGGGAGTTTGGTGCTGTTTTCAGGGCACACTGTCCCAGCTCTGTGGTTTTAACTGCTGGCTTTTCTCCTGCCTTGCAGGTCGTCGCTCTCTGAACAGACCACACCATGCGTGAGTACAAGCTGGTGGTCCTTGGTTCAGGAGGTGTGGGCAAATCCGCTCTGGTGAGTTTGGGGAAGCACTTCTGAAACCCACAGCCAGCCTTCCCACTGCTTRTTGCTGCTTCAGGCAATTTGTGTGACTTTTAATGTGTCAGCACGCCCATGTAGCCACTGTGACACCACTGAGAGAGCTGTGGAGGGCTCTCACGGTGTTAGAGAGGTGATGAATTGCTGTTGTGCTGATCAGTGTTTCACATCTGCTTCCTGCAGGGCTGTTGTGTTATGTTGTGTTGGTTGTGTTTGTTGTGTTGTGTTCTGTTGTGTTGTGTTTGTTGTGTTCTGTTCTGTTCTGCTCTGTTGTACATGTCTGAGTGTCTCTGTGTGAGCATTAAAAGCCCACCCAGCACTGGTCCAGCAGTGAGGTCTGGCTGGAATCAGTCACAGAATTTGGGGTTTCAGCTCTGTGTGTTCCATCCCTGGGCTCAAAGCACAAGCCTGGCAATCCATCTGCAGCCCTGGCAGAGCACAGGAGGAGCAGGCTGATGACATTTTGCACTCCTTAAGCACTTGCCTTGTTTCTGAGGAGAGGTTTACATGGCAGAGCTGATAGCAAAGCAYTGTAAGACAGACTCGTGTCACCCATTTATCACTCAGCACTCAAGCAGCTCTGTCCAACAGAAGGCAAAGAAATGGTCAAGTGCAGAGTTATCTCCAGCAAGGAGCTGCAGTGTTCTTGTCACAGACATGATAATGCCTGAGCWGCCCTTCATGTCCTGCCCTGTTGTTTATTCTGCTGGTACAGAATAAACAATGCTGGTGCTGCATTGATAATCCTGGTGAATCATCTGGATTCAAGTAAGCAGGAGGAGACATTATTCAGTTATACATCAAATTTGATGCACTGCTTCAGCAATCCCATCCTAATCTTCACAAGATGTTTACAAGGTGTAATTTCTTTATAAGCTCTGTTCTTTCACAGCAGCTTAAACAATCTGTGTTGCTTTTTCCACCAGCACTTCCTTGATTATCTTAATATTCTTGTGTAACACTGAAAGACTCACTAGGTGAGATGGAGCACTTACAACTAAGCTGTAAATAAAAATTACTCAGCACTGACATAATTGAATTTCCTTCTTTGTGATGTGGAGTCTGAATCAGCACCATCACTGACCTCTTTAACAGCTGAAATGCAAATACTCAAATAGTCTGGTAAACAAAAGTTAAATTCCTTTTGACAGTCTGGGTGCTAACTCAGCATATTTGGTAATTCATAGATCCATTATGYTTATAAGAGCACACAATAATGCCAATTAGCAGCTAAGAGTGGATAGTACATGGCTTTCCAAGTGTTTGTGTGCTGATTTATGAGAGTTTCCAAGGTGGGGTTTAAAATAATGGGGGSGTCACTTTAAATTTCCTTTTTCCTACTGTATAAATGATCTGTGCAACAAAGAGCTTGGTGTTCATGTCCAGTCTGTTTTTATTCGAGTGTAGATGACAATTTGGGGCTCTCCAGCCTGCTCTGGCTGTTCTGCCCTGGTTCTGGGTGTGCAATCCACAGCTCTGCTCCATTTTGGGCTGCTTTGCACTGCAATGTGCATTTCCACAGTGCACAGGTTGCCAGTGCTTCTGCTGAGTCTTCCATATTTGGTGATTTTTATCCTTCTAAAGTCACAGGCAGTGGAGTAAAGGCATTTTGGAGGATATCAKCTTTTCTGAGAAAAGCAAGCAAACAGTTGGTATGCAAAAAAGTTCTGAAAACATGGCTTGAGTAAAGTGATTTTAACAGAAAATACGCAGATTTTATTTTCAAAATTGTCATTTTGTCTTTTTCTCTGGTCCTCACTATTRAGTTTTAACAACAGAGCAGTTTTACTGTTACTTTTTTTCTAAAGTGCTTCTTAGTGAATATTTCTGGCTKTGTTCAGCTCACTTTGGTTTGTTTTTTACTTTCCTCTCTCCCCAGACTGTACAGTTCGTTCAGGGAATTTTTGTTGAAAAATATGACCCAACAATAGAAGACTCATACAGAAAGGTAAAACAT